GCCCCTCCCGGAGTCTGCACACCCCCAGTGAGCGCCGTCGACGATAAACGGATCGGGCTGCACGCCGCAGCGGTATGTGGAGCGGGCTGCACGCCGCAGCGGTACTAGTACTGTTCTGTGTGTTTACTTTATCTTATTTGCTTGCCTTTACTTGTTGTTTATGCTACTTCATGTGATATCTACCGGATTTCCTGACATTATCTGTTAATTGAGTGTGGTGCCCGAGGGGCGGACTTCTGTGCTTATCTGCACTATTTGAATTGCATTCCTTTGTATACTGTTGAAAAAGTCATTTTCAAAAGAGGTTTTAAACTGAGCTAAGATATTTCTAAAGATTTCACAGCTTCACTAATTTTCTCAAAAAGGTTTTACACTGCTCCTGTATAGCATGATGGTTTGCTTTACGTGATTTCTTACTGCTCAGTTGTCATTTACCCTTATTACTCACTGAGTTGGAGTACTCACTTTACTCCCTACACCTCCCGTGCAGATGCAGGTATTGATCACCCGGTAGTGGGTTTTGGCTGATCAGAGGCAGAGCTATAGGAGTAGCGAGGTGACTGCCTGCGTTCGCAACACCATTTTTTTCTCTCTTTTGGTTCATTATTCCGGCTTGTATATTTTAGGTCTTGTAGTTGTATATATACTCTGATAGATGCTCGTGACTTGTGACACCCCGGTTTGGGCTGTGTTTGGGTTTTATTCTGCACTTATTAAAGAGACCTTTTGATAGACTGTGGTTATTTAAAATATATTAAAGCTGCTTATTAATGTTAACTATTCTAAAATGATAAGTTGGTTAGTTGGCTGGCCTCGTCTTCACGAGAGGCGCCATCACGACCAATGCGGGGTTTGGGTCGTGACAAGTTGGTATCAGAGCCTAGGTTACTAGGTCTCACGAGTCATGAGCAGGTTTAGTAGAGTCTCGCGGATCGGTACGGAGACGTCTGTATTTATCCTCGAGAGGCTGCAGAACCTTGTGGAAAACTTCACCTTCTTGTAATCTTATCGTGCGTCCTTGATTCAGCTTGAAAAGTAACTCTTGAAATTCCTTCCACGCGTTCGTGTGCGCGCATAAGCGCTCAGTATCTGATGTGCCTTGATGGCTTGTGATTTCCCTGATCGAGGGGCGAGATGTGTTCTCTGTGAGTTTGATGTTGGGCCAGTCTGGAGGACTTGAGGCCGGATCTTTGCCTATGGCTTGAGCACCGAGGTACTGATTGCGTGAGCAAGTGTTTTGAACTTATACGTTCGGTAGTGCCCTATTGGTAGAAGTAATGACTGAATAGCTACGTGATGAGTATGTTATGACCGCGAGGTGTATTCATATGATTTGGAAACGACGAGAAGGGTCTATTGGAAGATAGGAGAACTATTAGGTACTTGATTTTCAGTTTGATTGAAGGTATAGCTCCGAGTTATGGGTGTGAAGAATCTTTTCGTGTCTCCTAGTTGGGAGTGAAGTAAATTTTATGTTGCGGTATGAGTTCAGACTCAGGAAAACTAAGTGACTGCGGACAGTTTATGATGGTGGAAGGTATACAGAAATGTTATATTGAGGCAAAGCAGGTGGGTTATCTCCTGCGGAGTGATCTGAAGTGGTGTGATCCCTATGTGTATGTTAGAAGATCTCATGTGTAATTGAAAGGTACGTGTTGAAATCTGAAATTTTGGGTCGCTTAAG